TTTTTCCTCATATGACTGGGCTTCCTACAATGGCAACACACATTCTTGTTATTAGGCCCTCTAGATTTTGATCGAAATCTTGAATTACTTCTTGAATGATTCTTCGATGAATCATCCCGTCCATTCGATCAACCTCTTGCCACAAAAGCTTCCATCTTCGATTCTACTGAACTTACCAAAGATGCTTTCTTTCAAAGTTCATCTGCAAGTAGGGCACTACACATTGAACCCAAATCAAGAGATTCATCTTTACTATAACTCAATGTAGTAACAAGGTTATCATAGGATTCCGGCAATGAATAAAGTAAGTTAACCTTCTTATCTTCATTGCACCAATACCCTTAAGTTGACAAATGATGTTATTAAACTCATTCAAATATTGCGATACATTTGCACCTTCTTCATTATCAAGGAATACAATTTTCTTTTTAAGAAAATTTTGTTTGTGAGAGATTTTGTTTAATACAAACTTTTTAATTTTTCCCACAAATCTTTCGCCGTCTTTTCGCCAACAATATTAAACAAAACTTCATTCACTAAATACTAGCGAATAGTGCATGTGTCTTCATATCGAGTTCGTCTCAATCATCATCGGTCATATTGATCGGTTTTTTATCGTTTCCAAGTAATGCCTTATGTTGCTCTTGATGTACCAATAAATCTTGCATTTTTAATTTCTAAATTTCTAAATTATCTTTCCCATTAAACTTTTCCACCTCAAACTTGTGAGATGCTATTTTCCAAAAAATACCACACTAATTCGTTGAGCTCTGATACCAGTTGTAAAATAGGGATAATCACCTTTTTTGAGCAAATCAGGATATCTTTAATCCCACTAGATGTATTGAGCACTACACCACGATGATTTCAACACTCAAATAACATGCCTAGATGCAATAACAATTACAATATAATTGGGAAAAATATAAAAACAATAAAACAAGCAATATGAAAAATCATCAACGAACAACATAAATAAAAATAGAGAGACACGTACATATACGTGGTTCACCCAAGATGGGCTACATCAACGAGCAAGACGGCAAAGATGTATTCACTATCAAGAGGAAAAATTTACAAGATTGGGGTTATATAGAGTTACCTCATACAATCTCAAAAAAAGCTCAAACAAAAGAAATTCCTACCACAAAATTACCTACAATGGATTTCTTTCTTTGACTCATCGATGCCGCGAAAAAATGCCGAAAAAACTGCCCAAGATGAGCCCCAAATAGTGGTGTTAGGGCTTTGTTGCAAAACCCCTAATTTTCAACCTCTCTCTCTACAAGTTCCCTTTCTCCCTCACTCACACCTGTTTTTCTCTCTAAAAAAAAACCGCTTTTATGGGCCTCCACTGAAAGGGCTTATTTTAGTGACAAAAATACCCTTTAAAAGAGGGAGAATACTATATGGTATGATTTTTTGCATCACATCCCAACAGACTTGACCTGCTGGGTCCAAATGCAAGGCCAATACTCGATCCGTGTCGGGTATACCTAGCGAGTCCTGGGTCGGGTCCAGGTTGGGGTCTGGGTCCGGGTCCAGGTCCAGGTCCATTTCCACCCCTATGCACTAGTGCATGTTATAATGGTTTGTCAGAGAGAGAAATTGATGGGAATGTGCAGAGAGAAAGACAAAGCTCTCTTGTCCTGAAAGCAAATTGCCACATGTATTTAATTACCACGCTAAAGCTTCTTTTTACTTCCATTTGAGTACTATATCACACACTGCACATACACATAGAGAAGGGGGGGGGGGGGGGTTCGTTTAATGGCATCTGGGATTTGAAATTAGAAATACAGAGAGAGCTAGATAAAAAGAATGGTTTTTGGGCTAAGAGAGAGTCATGATACAGGGGATTAATGGTTTTTGGGTGGCGATTGACTTGTCATTGCGGTTGATGGAGGGTTCTACGGTGGATGGATGGATTGAACCCATCAATTTAGGTTTTAGTGTAAGGGTCTCAAAGATTTGAAACGAACTTTAGAATAGATACACAAAGCTAGGGTTTTTAAATGAAGGATAAAGAAGCCACATGGTTTTGAGGATAAATTTGAAGGAGTTATGGTTGTAAGTTTTAATAGACGTTTAATGAATTGAGGGTTTTCTATAGGAAGTTCCTGAGCCAAAGAGAGGGTTTTTAATGGAAGTTGCACAAGAGAGAGAAAAAAATAAAAATAAAAATAAAAAATAAAAGAAGAAGAAGGGAAAGTGACATAGACCGTCTATTTAAATTAAGGATATCATACACCCCCAAGTCAATGAGAAGCCCATGAAACCCCTCACAATTTAGATAAATGGCCGAAAAAACCCCTAATCCCTATCTTGTCTTATCCTTATTTACTTATTCCCTACCGCTCAGATCACTTTCTGTTTTCTTTTTAATCATGTCAACTCTCAGTCCCATGGATGGTGAGAGGGAGATTATCTATTATTTACTTCTTCAAATAATGGAAAGGTAACTGTTGTATTTATTGCTTTGAAAAAATATCTTATATTATTTTAAAATAATAACTTTCTTTTTTTTTAGTATTTTGAAAGTGTAAAGCCTTGAAAATAGTGTTTTATCTTATAGGTATCGAGTTATTTATTCTACATTAAATATGTAGAAGAAAGAAACATTGTTCAAATATGTAGATATCCTCTTCATATATCTTCTATGAACCAAAAGTAGAGAGGGCCCATACGAAACATACATAACATACAAATGCAATCACATACACGTATGTACATGTACGAGGTCACAAGGGTGCTTGATTGCCTACTTTGCACATGATAATGGGATAGAGAGGGGGAGGGTCATGGGGATAGAGAGAAAAGAGGGAGGATAATGGGGTAGAGAGAAAGAGTGAAGATTCATGTGAGAGTGAGAGTTAATGGGATTAAAAAGAGAACGGAAAGTGATTTGGATCATTGGAAAAGTGAAAAAGAAGAAAAAGGGAAAATAAAGATTAAAGATTCTTCAAATTTTTTATTTACTTCGGGGGTTCCATGGGATTTCCGGGTTTGGTAGTTTAGACAGGGGAATATACAACTTTTTTCTCAAAGAAAAAAAAGGTGGAGGGTAATTTTGCAAGCATTCCATGTTTCAATGACTTGAAGTTGTTTCGATGCCAGGTAACTACACCTGAAAGTCCTAAATTTTTTATGGACATACAAATTTGTTAGGGTAACACGAGATTCTGAAGACTTTTATGACGTATCAAGGCCAAGAGAAAAGTCATGTTATACCTGTTTTTGTAAGATGATTCCTCTTTGTAATGCGCATAAAGAGAATTCACAATGTCCACGAAAACTAACATTCGAAGCACATATATTTTGTTTGGAAGGGTAAAATGCATATTATAAAGGGTAAACGATATATACCCCCGAGCCATAACATGTCCTACTCCAATACTTTTAAAATCCTATCACTAACCTTAATGATTTTTTATTTTTGCGTCTACCCACCAAATTTAAGAAAGCATTTCTTATATATTTAAGATAATTTGTCTCTCTTAAAACTTGAAATTTGAAATTTTAGAGAGAGTAACTATCTCAAAATTCAATTTTTTAGAAAACTATCTCAAAATCGTTAGAGGGAAGCTATCTTAAAATTTTTAAAAAGAAAAATTATTATTTTGAATGAATAACTTGAAATTTGAGATAATTTATCATCTAAAATATGAAATTTGATATAGTCTGTCTCTCTCTCTAAAATTAGAATTTCAAATTTTTAGAGAGAAAAGCTATCTTTAAATACATGGTGGTATTTCCTTCCTAAAAAACTCACTTATTTTAATTAGGGGAGTGGTTTATATAAGGTTGCAGCCTTAAACAATCCAAATAAGGCATACCTCCAAATTTTATCATGAGATTTAATTTTGGTGTAAAAAGCCTTAGGATGCCCTTAGAATCCATTTACATCTTTAATTATAAAATATTAAACTCTAAAAATGGTTCAAATCAAATAGATCTATAAACACATGAAAATTTTGAGAATAGATGGATGGTCCCGATAATATGCTGCAAGATCCAATATTTTTGGGATTTATGTCAAGATTATCAATTTAGAGCATTTTCCAACCTCAAAACAACATTTTATGATGGAGTTTTGAGGTGCACTTTAAATTTACATTCTAAAGTTGCAACCTTGTATAAACTCTCTCTTAACTAGTTGGGTGGATGCTATAATAGATAGTGTTAGGGTTTGTGGTGTAGTTTCGAGAGAAGCGGGCGAGGGACGTGTTATCGATACATTCATTCATCTTTTGGACTGCCCCCTCTTATAAAGTTTGAGTGTCCATATGCTTTTGGTTCAGTGCAGTCATCATTTAGCATATCACATGCCTGAGGGTTAGAGAATATGGTGCACAAGTTGATATTATGTCTCACATTTCTTATGAACTTCCACATTTCTTAGAAGCTGAGTGGCTCACTTGCCGGCCATGTCTATATTTAGTATGAGTAATTCTTCCTGTAGCTGCCATTGATTCGACTAACCAATCTGAACTATTGGTTTAAGTGAACTTCATTGTCGACTACTGATTGTTGGCAAAGCAGCATGAATAGGAAGCAAGTGATTATTGGCAGGGCATCAAGGTCTGTGTCTCATTAGCAACTGCGACCGAGGATCCAGTCTTGAGACAACATTTGAATCCCACCAAAGTGTGATGTGCATCGAAACATGTCAGCATTTAAGGCATTTGTCATTGCTAACCAAAAAGGCTTTACCACCCCATACGAACTAGATGCCATTACTAACCAAAAAGTAAAATGTTATTTTTCGTACAAATATTTTGAAATTAAAGGTCTCTGAATGGGGATTTCACATTTGGAAGGAGATCTAACTTATTCTCTTCTTGTGTTCAATGATTTTCACCTTCTATATGGTGCCCCTGCAAGGAAACAATCAGTACATGCATGCACCTACTAAACTTGTATTGCCCTTGTAGTTCTGGTTTTTTCTCAAAGACAAAAAGAGTTTGCGGAGAAACTGACAACAACAAGGAGGTATTGGAAAACCAATGAAAAGTTCGTGGTGTCGTGAATCCATATATCTCTCAAAAAACAATCCATAGAGAAACTTTCAATCCAGTTAATATTTACGCACAAAATAACAAAATAAGAAAGAACAATTAAAATAAAATAAGTCGAAATAAAAACCTAAAATTAGTTGCTGATCTAAAAGAAGATCTTATCCTCCAAAAAGGCAATATATCCTGGGCCTGTATCAGTCTCCATAGTTTGGAGAAAACTTATTTCTCGAGTTTTGAAGATCTTCTTTTGCCTTCTTCTCCATTGGCTCTAAAAGCGTAATAGTTGTGAAAACACCTTAGGATACGGATCGAGATATGAATATGGAGAAATTAACCTCTGTTAGGATAAAAAATAATATATCAAGAAGGGCAAAAAAATCAATCCCCTTTTGTCCGTCCTTATCAAAAGAAAAACAAATATATCAAAGGACACCCCATCATGCCCTGTGAGCTGCAGGTGAAAATGACTGAAACGAGCCATGAAAGAAAGCAGATTCAGGCCTGAAATCATTGTTGGCATCATATTCACTATGATAAAAAGGATTATTAGTAAAGCAATTGGCGTTGCTATCATAGTTATAATAATCCTCTTTGAGACGATCACCAACAGTAGTACTATTGATTGAACCAGCATTGTTCCTCTTCTTCAAGGAACCATGACCTTCAAAAGCAAGATTTGGGGAAAAATTTTCATTGTTCTCCCTCCATGCCATTGAGTTGCTCCGCCTTTCTCTAGCAGAATTTCTCAGTTCCTCCATCTCTCCAATGTGTTCTTTAAACTCTTTGCGAACAACATCTAAGACCATGTCTCCATATCGATCACACCATGATCTGCAATATTAAAAAAAACTAGAATATCAAACCCAATTTAAGTATTCATGACTCGCTCTTATTTGGTTCATTTAGTAATTAGAAATGGGTTTTCCATAGATGCACCCTGTTTCCATAGAATCTTTATGCTAGAACTTGCAAAAGCACGCTAATCTTACTTGGGAAAAAACTTTTTGAGGTCTGCTTTATCGACTGGTAGCCTCGTTGAGATTGCTTCAATTTGATCAGTTCTACGAAAATCAAGAGAGAAAACCGTATTACTAATAGTGTTTAGTAACAGAAAATATGGATCAAGTAAAGGAGCCAAAATGAGTTGAGAACCCTACGTGAAGGCGAGGTTGGGATTTTTCACAGCTAATTCAGCTTGAATTCGAGATAATTCCTTATTTATGTTCTCTCCCAACACCTACATAATTCAGTTTCCCAGAAGATGCACACATACATCACCAAAAAAACAGAAGAAAAAAGAATGACATCCCAATAATATCCAATAACGTGAACATGATATATTTTCTCAAGAATCTCTGCTGACCTTGTCTATAAAGAAATCTGTTGCAGAGCCATTTGAATGTATTTTTCTCTTGATGAGTTTGGTATCAGGACCTTCGCCAATTGGTCGCACGACAAGCTTGCAAGGCGCTGAGGAAACATCATCAGATCTCTCTCCAGGAGGAAGATAAGGAACAGTCGATTCATCCTCATCATTCCATTTCTTCCATTTCTTCAACCCATCGAAACCCCAAGTTTTCTTAGTGGGTTTCACTCCATTCTCATCAATTTCAAAACTCTGCTCCCCTGTTCCTCCTTCTCTCTCTTCTTTCTGAAACAGATTATAAAATACCTTCTGCTTTGCCTTTTCTCCTCTTTTAGAAGACTTGATTGAAACTGGAGGGGAGCTTTCAGGCATAAGAATAGACCCCTGTTTGTTATCTTGCCAAAATGGATTTTCACCAAAGGACTCCACCAAATCTGTATTTTCGGACTGGTTTTCAATGTTGAGTTGTTGGAGAGGTTCAAATGACAATCTCTTTTTCCCCAATTTATGAGGCTTTGAGAAGCCACTGAATTTTGACATTGCCCCTTTCATCTGTTTCATTGGTGACTTTCTTTTTGCCCTATTCTTTTCAGTGTCCATCCCATTACAAATCAAACGCTGTTCATCTTTGAATTCAACAACTGACCACAAATTCTCCTCCTCGTTCTCAAAACCCAACCCTGGCTTTGACTCAAAAACAACATCTTTGCAGTTGATCTCTGCCCCTTGATTAGCAAGCCTTAGAACAAGGGGCCTTTTAGATTTGTGATATTCTTGACCAGTGATACACTCAGCATAAAATAATTCCTACAAAATGACAAAGTATCAGCGGTAAAGAATGAAGCTTATTAGACCAAGAGAAATCAAAACCAAGAAATGGCTTTCTGCTAAATAACTCTATGCAATGAAAATAGGTCACGGCACCTTTTGGTACTAGAATCATATTAAGGATTTCTGAAAGTTTAACTCAGTGAAAGCTAGTTAGAGAAACACAATAATGTTATATTTATTGAGAGAAATCAAACTAAGAAGATAGGTTTCCTGCAAGTTCAATCTAGTTAGCTGAAACGCAAGGTTATTCATTAAGAGAAACCAAAAGAAGAAACTACATTTATGCGAGTGTTCTCGAATGATAGGAAGAGATTGAATGGAAGGAGGAATTTCAATAAGAGAAGTAAATTTTTTAAAAAAGATTCGATGCATTTAAACAAATTAGTTTTCATAAAAGAAATTAAAATAGCTGATGGTTTCCGCAAGTTTAACCTCTTGATAGCTAGTGACAGACACAACAAGCTAATTCATTAAGAGAAACCAAAAATACCTCAATGTGTTTTCTACAAAGTGGTTGTTTGAGAGTTCACCTGAAGAAACTGCAATTTATCTCTTATAATGACTGAAGAATCCTCCTCTGAAGGAGCGGTGACAATGGTCTCAAGAAGTTGCGATCGAAAGGCCGAGACCTCATTTTCAGGGAGAATTCCTTCCTTTTGAAGACCCATCTTGTGAAGGATCCCATGAAACATATCTTGTTGCCATTTGAGATTATCTGATTGTTGCTTTGAAAGCTTTTGCTCGTGGCTGAGACTTCCCAATCGTTTACGGGCACTGGTTTTGAATGAGAAGGGAAGCAGGGTCTTGCATAAGGAAGTAATGGTGCCCTGTACAGAGGAGTAATAGGTGGGGGTGTACGTGTAGACCATGGCTGAGAAAGAGAGAGAGAGAGATGCAGGGGAGAGAGGTCTCGAGAGAGAGATGCAGGGTAGAGAGGTCTAGAGAGAGAGAGAGGTCTAGAGAGAGCGAGCGAGAGATGCAGGGAGAGAGGTCTAGAGAGAGAGATGCAGGGGAGAGAGGTCTAGAGAGAGAGAGAGAGAGATGCAGGGGAGAGAGGTCTAGAGAGAGAGATGCAGGGGAGAGAGGTCTTTCACGGCTGGGAAAACAGGGGCCAGGTTTTAAAAGGCGCCCAACGGTAATCAAGAGAAAAAAAAAACTAGCCGTTAGGTGGATCTGGGTTCCGTTGAGAATCCATTTCTTCTCTCCTTAATAATGCAGGGAGAGAGAGTTCAAAGTGCCGAATGCCGATAATACCCTTAACTATAGAATGAAGTGACGGTAAAAGTCCTTTTGTTACAACCATATTTCTCATTGGCCCTTATATGATTTGAGGAAGCGGTGGCAATGGGTAGGGTCCGAGCATAGTCAGCAAATCCCCGTTTCCTCAGCGATTTTTTAAAAAATTTGGCGTTTTTATGGAAACAGTTTTAAACGGCGGCTTTTTTGAAAAGATCGACAAAAAATCATGTAATTTTTATAAACCTGTTTAAAACGGGTTTTTTTTCATAATACGATTTAAATTCGGGAAAAAAATCGTATCTTTTTTTACCTATATTTTTTTTGAAAAATATTCATTTTCTTGTTTTGTCTATTGCAGCCATTGCTACTTTCATACCTTAAAAAAAAAAGAATTAGTTAAAAAAAAAACTGAAATAGAAACTTTATCCCCACTGTGTTCTTCAAAGCCAGAGTGGCAGATTGACGATATAAATGTTTTTTTAAAACTTAATCAAATAGATGCAAATTTCAGTTGTCCTTCGGGAAAATTATTGTGTAAATGAAATACTGTTTACAGCAAATCATTTTGTAAAGTAAATCATTATGTAAATATATCATATAGAAGTAGATTGCTGTGATTATTTGTGATAATTGTTTTTATGAAAGTATTGTTAATGAATGGCATAAATTAAAGCTCAAAACATAATTTTTTACTTATGAATGAGAAGCAGAGAGTGTGACTACAATTCCAAGTAATCAATATTTTGTTTTTGATTGTGTAAACTGCAAATTTACAGGAGCAAGCAATTCTACATATAGGATTACTTCCCCAAACTTAATCCTTCAACTCTGTTTCCTCAAGAAAATGAAAAGCCATCTTCAAACTATCCCAAATCAGAAAGAAAAGCCCTCTTCAAACCATCTCAAATCAGTATCTCATAGTCCTTTTCTCTCTCTAAAAATCAGTTAGGACCTCTTCCATTAGAGTTCTTCCTTCTCTCTCTCTCTAAAAATCAGTTAGGTCCTCTTCTATTAGGGTTTGTGAAAGCCATTTTCTTCTTCCTTCTCTCTATAAGCCCTAATGGCTATAAGCCAAGCCCTATTTTCTTCTCTTCCTTCTTCCCTTTTCTCTCTTCTCTCTTCTTCTCTTCTTCCTTCTTCCATCATCGTTCTTCCTTCTTCTTCTTCTCTCTACACAGTAAACACAGATGTAAAACCCAAATTTCTACGAACTTCTTTTCAACTAAAGAAATTTATAAAACTTTAACCATAGTTATGGAGAGACCATAGTCACCATATCGTAGTTAAATAATTGTAATGAGAAAACAAAATCGTGTATTTATTTTTTGGTACATGCTAAGTAGGAGTTATGTTTAAGTATTTAATGAATAAATTTATAGTATATTTGTCACCATACCATA